CGATTACTTGATAAGGGACGAAGTAGTCACGGCATTTACACTTCCTAACCATGCCACAACAAGTGCCCACAATCGCGACAATTGGCTGTATGAGCTTAACCCTCCCGACCACCCTTCGACACCTGAGACACCACAATCCTACCAAGTTTATGATACCACAATGTCTAATGAGAGTGACCCGAGACCCCTCCTGGTTACCATGATGGTAACAACATCGTAGAGGATGTTGATGCCCCTCCAATAACAAAAGGGGAATATGCTGAAAATTTGAATAAGATCTTTTCTACACTGGACGTTTACCAGACGGACATCAATGGAATCAAGAACGAGTTGAAGGGTATGCGTATGGACGTGATAGGCTTAACTGATATTACTGTGGAACAGTTTTATCACATACATACATCTTTCGAAGACTTGAAGACGCGACTGGGATGAAGCAGCAGAATCAGCACTTATTTTTACCTTGTGTTTTATGTTTCTAGGCAGTTTATGATTTCATTTTAAACAAGTTTACTCTTTACAGTTTTTAAAGTTTTGTTAGAAACATATATTTATTTCAATTTCAGTTTATTTTTATTTCAATTTCAGTTTATTTTCATTTTATTTCATTTTCAGTTTATTTTCATTTTCATTAAATTTACTGTGTGTTACATCTAATATTATATTCACTTATCATATTATCATTTTGCAAAATTTTGTTATACGATGTATGTTGGAAAGACTCTGCATGTATTGAATTATTGTGTTAGAATGTTTTGGAATTATACTGTTTCGTCCATTTCATAAATATGATTCTTTGCACCCGTAACGATCGTAACGTCCCCATGATGAGCGTAACGTGTTACGCCCGTCAGCCCATTGTGACGGTCATCACGCGCGCCTAATAGCATATTCTGCTATTACAGAAGCCGTTCCACTTTCCATTCACTCTTCCCTTTTTTTCCCAAATCCGTAACAGTACCCATTCAAATTTTCTCTCAAATTCCAACACTCCAACACTTAAACTCCATAAACCCACTACTCAATCCACATTCCAAACCATTTTCACGATTAAATCTTTTGCATGCACTATGACCAACAACCAGCAAAATCAAATGAGCGCAGCGCTTGAAAAAAGACAGCAGGAGAAATATGAGTATCTATGCGCTCAAAACACTCAGATCTTGACTGAACAGCGGAGCATGAATGAGAGGTTGGATGAGGCCCTGTCAGAGCTCAATGCCTTAAGGCTGGACGTCAGCACCCTTGGTTTCCAGGATACTAACACAGAAGCCACTCCTATCAGACGCTCTCGCACCAGTAGTAGAGGACGTGGTCACCAGTAGTTTTTCTTTAGTTTCTATGTAGTTTATTATTTTTTCTGTTTCATTTCCTTTCCGTTTGTTTTTGTCATTGTACTTCCCCGCCTATATACCGTAACATTGAGGACAATGTCGGATTTAGTGTGGGAGAGGTACCTTTCCATCTTTTATAAACTAGTAAATTTTTACGATATGTCTCGATTCAAATTCTTCGCTTTATTTAGCCATACCGAAAAAAATTTATCTTCGCATTAGCCCGACATACCTATTTTAACGAAATCCTAGTTGAGGAAGCTGAAAACGACATAACAAGATCGATACGGTTATGACACCGTAGACTTCCTACTTATGCGATCCATTTCAATAACCATTATACTGATATCTGGAGTTTTAAGTTCTAGAGTAACCCCTAGTAGTTTATACTAGCAGTCAGCACCGTCTTGACACAAACCACGTGGAGAATCGATGAATATAAGTGCTTGATGCCTGATTCTAAAAATATCCTTCCTATCTCGCTGCTAAAAGAAAATAAATTTTGTGCACCAAAATATACGGTCACATATAAGAGCTGAGCAAATAATGAAGGAATCCAGTGTTGGTTGGTTCAGAGGTATCTGGTTCTGAACTCGGTAGGGCGTGCTACGGCCCGATCCCCCACAACCTCCAATTTGGATAACATATGTAGGGTTGCCACATTCGTGTACCAGACCCCGTGCTAAAAGGATCAAAGTCACTAACCGGTTACTCCACTATGTGCGTGCTAAGACAAAGGGCTTAATGTGATTGCGCCAGAACGAAACCGGGTGAAATAGATACGAGGAACTCTGGGCAGAATTATAACGGAACTGTTGGATAGCTCGTTTGAAATGGAAGCCTACGACTAAGCTTATTGCTTGTGTCATTAGCGTATCTTTAGTGTTTTACTCAAGTATTGGCCGAACCGACGAGGATTTCCCGAAATTACTTTAAACATCCAAGGTATGTCATGCTTATGCGCTTGACAAAACTTGTCCGACCTTTTGAATGACTATTTGCTTGAGGACAAGCAAAGGTTTAAGTATGGGGGAATTTGATAACGAGAAAACATATCATATAATTACTATGCTTTTTACCGATTTTATATTTCATTAAGTCGTCTAACCCCCGATTATTCCGAGATTATTTGTCTTTTTACAGGTATAACATTTGCCAACTCAAACCAATGGAAAAGGACAACATGAAGAAGGCTAGACAATAAACAAAGAGAAAAAGAACTAAAAATATAAAGTTTGGATTTTTGGAGCAGTGACGGTCATCACACCCTTGTGACGGGCGTAACGCCCCCCAACTTAGAGTAATGCTCGTCACACATCACTGACGAGCGTAATGCGCTACTTAAGCGCGTTACGACCGTCACCCACCTGTGACGACCTTCACGCGCGTGAAGATGGACGTTGTAAATGGGTGGAGACGTGGGCAACGCAAGGGCAGACTCATTCTCCTATTTTTCCTCCACCCACTAACCATGCTCCCTATATTTTCTCCATTCAACCTTTCCTCAAGACTGGCAACTGCTATTTTTCCTCTGCTATATATATGTGTGCAAGTGCAAAGTACCGGGGGTCGAAGAATTTTTCCAGAGACCAAAATTTTTACTTTCCTGCAATTATTCTATTTTCTTGTTTTAGAGTTTTTTTCTACACTAATGTAATTTCTATTTCCAGCATTAGTTTTAGAGTGCTAGTTCTTCATTTAAGAATTAACACAATTTATTGATTTCGATTGAGCTGCAAGAAATATTGTAACATTCAAGATTACATAGCAACATTATTTCCAGGTTTTTTATGCAATTAATATTTATTCATTTTTGTATTATGTCGTTTATTTTTATGAATATTATTTTAAATTGCATAGTTATTAAATATATTATGTCCGGCTAAATTAATTGTACCAGTATGTGACTCCTAAGTACCGAAGGAATTTAGTGATACCTTGGCTAAAAACATTTATAAAATAATTTCTGATTTCCAATTTCCATGTTTAATTTAACTACCCTTGTCACGAGAGTGAGAGGATAATTAACACGATTTTGCCACGAGAGTGGGAAATTAATTAAGGCAAGAACCTGCATGCGAGAGCTGGGGTTCAACCCAGATAGTGGTAACGAAATATTAATTTTAAATACACGAGAGTGTTTTAATAAATTAATTAAACTCAAATTGTTTTCAAAAAGTGTTATTAAATTTAAAGTGCATCCACTAGGTTTAGTAGCATGACTTATTTCATGAACACGAGAGTGTATGTCTCAGGTTTTTAAACAATTCGTTTTTACCGAAATACTTTATATGCCAAGCGATTCACTGAATTCCAGAAGTCCGACTATCACATACCGGTATAACTATTACTATTATTTTTAATTAAACTATTTTCCCCCTAAAACCAAATATTCATCGCTTAGTTAAAACAAATTGTAGCATTAGATCGTATGCGATTGATCCTCAGTCTCTGTGGGTTCGATAATCATTTAAAACTAGAACGACTAAACTGATACTTGCAGTTAGTATCCCAATAGATTTATAAAGTCCCGATCAAGGACGACAAGGGAAACTGCCTTAATAAATCGTGTGTTCTTCTGCTTTTTCTTTATCTTTATACTTGATTACTATACTGTGCAAAAATTAATTTGTCAAATCTGCATTATTGAAATTGTAGTGTGTTGAGTTCATTTCAAAACATTGGTAACGATCCTTTTGATTGATACCTAAGAAAACTTACCACTTACAATTTAATAAAACCAAACCTAAGATGCTTTGCTCACAAAGTGTTTGACAAGTTGACTAATCCACAAATTATCCATTGTGCTTATCCTTATCTCATTCAACTCATTAGTAGTAATTAATAATCATTGAGGTGTATAAGTTATTGAACAATTGAGTAAAACACATTGATTCTTATTTGTCATTACATCCCATACGGTTACGCATATCCAATCTTTTCACTAGAGGATCGTTAGACGATTGAGATTTCAGGAAGCTTTCGCATATTTTTTCTGAAAACAATTTTAAAAGCGCAAATCATTTTAAACGATCTATTCAACCCCCTTCTAAATCGATCACATCGTCTAACAACTCAGACATGTTACTCTAATTTAAAGTCTCTCCATTGATCTCCTATATTAAACGACATGAACCTTGTTGCAAAAATGCAGTATTTTTCTAGTTTAGAAATGAAATAGGAATGACATGATTACTCCATTGTTGATTAGTTTTACGGTGAGAACCGATGCATGGTCTGTTTATCTAAACGGGTACAATGTAATGCACACTTAGGATTTAAGCTTAGAACATATAGGTCAGTTGAAACCATAGTCAAAACCATAACCTGAAATTGATAGATTGTTCCATAAGTGAACAAACCAATCTATCCAACCAAAAACCAAAGACATTAGTGCTCATGAGTCATGAACCATAAACCAATGACAGCAACTTAATACTAGTTTAATATCTATAGTTCATTGTATTAAAAAAGTACATAATTCAAGAGTAATACTAGTTCAATATCTATTGTTTATTGTATAAAAAAGGTATATAATTCAGGAGTAAATTGACAAGCAACAAATGACTGTTGAAAGCTTCTGCAACATATCCCTATGTTTACATAGTCGACAGTAACTACTAGTAATGTACATAATAATACTCGTCAAAAATCGAGTATGTATAATTATGGACCACGAACAGGCTTAAAGCAAAAAACAAAATGGAGCCTGGTCTTCTTGTATCATTCCCCCTCCTTTGCTTGTATCAAGTTCTTCATCATTCTCACCACTTCTTGCATTTGAGGACGCTTTTCTGCATGTTTGTCCCAACATCTTTTCATTATAGTTGCTAACTCACTTGGACAACATCGAGGAATATCTGGTCGTAAATTCTGTGCAACAATGAAAACAAATCTGATTTTAGATGGAAGTGTAGAATGTATAAGGCGGTTGTAATAGAGAGCATTCTTATGAAATAAGAGTAAATGTAGTTAAAATAGTTATTTTGGTGTAATGACAGCTGAAAAAGTTTACTATATATATATATATATATATATATATATATATATATATATTATATATATATATATATATATATATACTATATATATATATATTATATATATATATATAATATATATATATATATATAATATATATATATATATATATAGTATATAATATATATATATATAAATATAATATATATATATATATATATACTATATATATATATATATATATATATATCTATATATATATATATATATATATATATATATATATAAGTATATAGTATATATATATATATATATATATATATATATATATATATATATATATATATATATATATATATATATATATATATATATATATATATATATATATATATATATATAAATGAACAAATAACTAAATCATGCCACGTAGAATAAGATCATGAAAATCCTTAAAAGGTTCATCAAAAAAAAGAATATGAGAATAGATAGAAAGAGTTCATGGTTCATTCGATGAACTGACCTTATTAGCAACGGCAGACGAAGCGTCAGCAAAACTTAGGTTTTGATAAGGCATGTCACAACAATAAATTTCCCACAAGCAAATGCCAAAGCTGTAGACGTCACAACTTCTGTTGTAAGGCTTACCATTTATAACCTACACATAATTTAAGGATGAGATTAAAGCAAATTATTGAAAATAGAATTCCGATTTCTTACTACTACATAGTATCGAGAACTTATTACAAAACATGATTAATACCTCTGGCGCCATATATCCAACGGTTCCAGTTTCACCTGTCATTTCACTTGGATTTACCGCTTCAACCCTAGCAACTCCGAAATCAGCTATTTTCAAATTTTGATTTTCATCCAACAACATATTATCAGTTTTTACATCGCGGGTGAACAATTTTCTTTGAATGTAGATAACTAAGACTGCAATAGAAAAAAAAACATATTGTGTTTGAGAGAGAAATAATACACTTATACACCAACAATTCTAAAAGGTAAATACAAGTTGGTGCAGGTGTCCGACACGGACACGCTTTTTTCCAGAGGTATCGGTGATACATAGAATACAATGAGACTCACCCTCTAGCAAGATCCAAAGCCAACTGAACCACAACCTTATATGCAAGTTTCTTCCGCCTATTTTTCAACAAGAACTGTTTTAATGTCCCACCATGAACAAACTCAACAATAACGCAACACGCCTTCGAAGGAAGGGGATTTTGACCACCAGTGTCTGAAGGAATCTTAAGATTTGAAGTGCCCATTGAAGCTCCAACAAACTGTTGGAAGAATGATATGAACAATTACACAAATACGATTTAAAGAAATAAAATTCCTATTGTTCCACCTCATATAGGAAAGGAGGAAAATAAGAATGCCGAATTTGCAAAGTAGTAATCATGAATTTAAATATAAGAGTGTGAAGGATATTAAGTAAGTACTTTTGTGACATTTGAATGATCAAGTTTTTGCCAGACAGTAACCTCCTGCCGAAATGCTGCTCGTAAAGCAGCAATTTCATTAACACTGGCAACACCATCCTCACCCCAGTCCAACACTTTCACTAGAAAATTCAACATGACAATTCAGTGAGAATTTCTACACATAAAAAAATCAAGACTATGACTATGACTAGAGAGCATTTATTTTATGGGAACAGCATAACTGAAAAAGGCAATAAAACCTGTCTTGTAGGTTTAAATTGCGGCCGACAAATGCAATATAAGGTTTATGCAGGCCTACCAAACCGCAATTATGATTGCATCAGCCGCATTTATCTGTTTTTTATCTTCCGTTATATGCAATATCAAAGATTTTACCATAACCGCGACAACAGCCACAATTCAAAATCTAGATTTGAGGCTGAAAGAGCAGACATTGAGAGAATACAATACCTTGACTATCTAATTACATTGAATAGCATGCTTTAATGTCTGTTACATTTTTAATACAATGTTGTCAATCGCGAAAATTGCGGATTGTTAGTATTTGTACTTTTGTGACATCTGAGCTGAACGATCAAGTTTTCCCACACAGTAATCTCCTTTTGAAATGATGCTCGTAAAGCAACAGTTTCGGCGACAGTGGAAACACCCTCACCACAGTCCATTTTCACTAGAAAATTCAACATGACAATTTCTACACAAAATTGACACCAATGCTAATGACTTGAGCAGTTATTTTATGGGAACAGTGTAACTGAATAAGGTACAAAAGTTTGTATTGTAGCTTTAAATTGCGGCCGAAAGCCGGAATA